ATATGGTCTTGGTAACAGAAATAATGCTGGAGATGAAACGATAGAATTTTGCAAGACCAATGACTTGTACATTGCAAATACCTTTTGAACAACATAAAAGGTTGTTCACATGCACCTCACCAGATGGAATACATAGGTATCATATTAACTACATCTTTGCAAGAGATGGTGAGAAAGCTCAATATCATCTGCCAAAACAAGGCCAGGGGCCAACTGTAGAACAGACCATCAATTCCTTATGTGAATTCAGGCTGAAGTTGAAGAAAATTAAAACAAGTCAACAAGAGTCAAAATATGACTTTGACTATTCCCCATCTGAATTTAGAGACCATATCAAGAACAGATTTGATGCATTAAATAGTAGTGACCAATAACCAGAAGAGTTGTGGGATGACATCAAAAGCATCGTATAAGAAAGCAAAAAGTCATGTAAAAGACAGGAAAGAAAGAAAAGACTAAAATAGATATCAGAAGAGACTCTGAAATTTACTTTTGAGCTAAAGATGCTAAAGGGAATGGAGACATTATGACATAACAGAGCTGAATAGAAAAGGTCAAAGGGCAGTTTGAGAAGAAAAAGTCAAGTATTATAATGAAATGTGCAAATCCCTGGAGTTAGAAAATAAAAAGGGAAGCACATGTTTAGATTTCTCAAGTTGAAAGAACTGAAGAATAAATTCAAGCCTCAACTTGAAATATTGAAGGACTGCATGGGCATAGAAAACATGAAAAGAAGATGGAAGGAATACAATGAGTCACTATACCAAAAAGAAATGATTGATGTTCAACCATTTCAAGAGGTAGCATATAACCAAGAACCAGTGGCACTGAAGGTAGAAGTCCAAGCTTCATTGAGGGCATTGGCAAAAAATAAAAAATAAAAAAAATACAAGTCTCCAGATATTGACAGACTACAAATTGAAATCTTTCAACAAACTGATGTAGTACAAGAGGTGCTCACTCACCTATAACAAGAAATATGGAAGACAGCTAACTGGTCAACTAATGGAAGAGATCCATATTTGTGTCCATTCCAAAGAGAAGTGGCCCAATGGAATGTGAAAATTGTCAAGTAATATTAATATCATATTCAAGGAAAATTTTGCTGAAGATATTTCAAAAATGGCTGCAACAGTACATCAACAGGGAACTCAATCTGGATTCAAAAGAGGACATGGAACTAGGGATATCATTGCTGACATCAGTTGGAACTTGGCTGAAAGCAGACATATTAGGAAGATGTTTAATTTTGTTTTTTTGTCTGTATAAAGACTTTCAACTCTGTGGATCATGACAAGCTATGGATAACATTGAGGAAACTGGGTTTTCCAGAATGCTTAATTGAGCTCATGAGGAAGCTGTGTATAGACCAAGAGGCAATCGTTCAAACAGAATAAGGGGACATTGAATGGCTTACGATCAGGGAAGGTGTGTGTGAGGGATGAATTCTTTCACCATACTTTTTCAATCTGTATGATGAGCAAATAATTCAAGAAGCTGGATTATATGAAGCAGAATATGGCATCAGGATTGGAGGAAGACTCAATAACAAGCAAATGATACAACTGTGCTTGCAACTGAACAAGTAAATAACATCATGGTAAGTGGAGAAAAAAGTGAACTTATCAAAGACTTTATTTTGTTGTATCCACAATCAACAGTTATGAAAGCAACAGTCAAGAAATTAAATAGTGCATTGCATTAGGCAAATCTGCTGCACAGGACTGCTTAAAAGTGCTCAAGATCAAAGATACCAGTTTGAAGACTAAGGTGCACCTGACCCAAGCCTTAGTATTTTCAATCACTTCATATGCTTGTAGAAGTTGGGCACTGAATAAGGAATACCTTAGAAGAATTGACACATTTGAGTTATGGTGTTGGAGGAGAATGTTGAAAGTACCATGGACTGTCCGAAGAACAAACAAATCTGTGTTGAAAGAAGTACAATCAAGATGCTCCTTAGAAGTCAAGATGTAAAGACTTCATCTCTCATGCTTTGGACATATTATCAGGAGGGACCAATCCTAGCAAAGGACATGTGTTTAGTAAAGTGGACAGTTAGCAAAAGAAGAGGAAGACCGCCAATGAGATAGATTAGCTCAGTAGCAGCAGCAATGGGCTCAAGCATAACAATAATTTTGAGGATGACACAGGACCAGAGTGTGTTTCATTCTGCTGTTCATAGGGTCTCTGTGAGCCAAATCTGACTAGCTAGCACCTAACAACAACAACAACTCTAAATAACGAGGAAAACAAGCTATGCTACCACACTTTCCTAAAACTATGGAAATGTTAACTAAGTAAAAATAAGAATTCTGTATACATATAGCATAAGGAGCTCTGGTAGTATA